CACGGAATCGCGCATATCGCTTTACAAACCAAATGTATTGCCGTGTATGGAATATTGTCCATTAATCCAGTCTAAGCTGCGGAAATCGGACCAGGATGCTCTTGAGAGGGTCCAGAGATGCTTCAGGAAAAAACTATGTGGATATTTCTCAAACTTGACATATAGAGAGTGATGTGATAAACTTGGATTTGACCCAGTTTGGCTTCGGAGAATGCAGCTGAACTTAAGTTTTCTTTACAGAATGATAAACTGTCAAATTCGCAGTCTTGTTTCCGATGTTCACATATCTTTAAGCAGCAGATATCCAATATGTAACAAAGAGATAAAGTCGTGATTCTAAAATTTACAACGAGAATCAGAGAACGTTCCTTTCTAACCCAATACTCAAAGATTTGGGACAAACTTCTAAGTGATAGCAGAAAATTGGAAGCTTGCGATTAGTAAGCATTTAACCGTCCAAAACGTGATTAAGATGTTCGGGACATCACAGTCCCTAGCTAACGCATTCGAAAACGGTATCCTTGGTGGCTGAATAAATTTCCGAGACACATACATATAACATTTCGAACAACTGCCCCTTTCATTACATTTTTTCGGCCCAAACATCTGTCATCTGATTGTGAAGAATCCTGATTCAATGACAGGAAAAAAACAGTAGGACAATTCTGATTACTCTGTGTTACCTAATTTGCAATGGCGCCCATGTTTATTTCTGGAAATTTATTAGTACAATGTCATGGAAAGCTTGTCACATCATTTGATCTGTTCCTTCTAAAGAACAGCTTCTCGCATCGTCGAGGAATATATAAGTAATTCATTTATTTATTTATCATGTTACCCAGTATATCACTTCTCCGAAACTACACAATCTTATCATTTACCACAAAAACAAGATTTTGGTGTGAGCTCATAGAGGATGCTCAAAAGCGTGGCGTTGATCTCCTTCGGTTTAAATTTTGGTTGAAGGGCCAGGTCATATGCCTTGTGTCCGTCGTTTATAGACCTCCTGAATCCAATTCGGAAATCGACCACGGCTTACTATCAGCTTTGTGTATTGGGATAATTCAGAGATACAGCCATATCCTCATTACAGAATAGTTCAACATTCATAATCTGAGAAATTCAGCAACCGAGAGTTAAAAATTCAAAATCCATCTGCATGAGCTAATGTCTAGCAAACCCCTGTACAATAACGTCACTGTCCCCACCAGGTTCAACACAATGAATAAGCCGTGGAAGTTAGAACAGGTGCTCATGAACAAGAAGCTCATGGTTGATGAGCTGGATGTGTGCAGAAATTGAGTCGAAGCGATCACATAATTCTACTGCCCGATTACATCTGCTACACCAGACATTCCGTTGCAGAGCCCTTATTGTCCGCATTGGTTGAAAACGATAGTTGAACAATCGCCCCAGCGCTACACTGTGAAACATTCTTAAAATGCTTCATGTCCGTAGTCGCAGATCGTTGGAGCCAAAAGCTTCCATCTTCTGCTCAAACCATCATTCTTCTTAAGAAGTCGAAGAAGAAAATATGTGGCTTTGGGAGATCGGATATGACGCGTCTACAAAAACAATCCCAGCTCTGGAACGTAGACAGCATGCGTAACTCAACACAACTACTATATGCAGTTGATTACCTAAGACAAGTCGGCGATTCCGCTCGAACCACAAGCTACGTTACAAACACATCAATAAACTCCGTAAGGTGTTGCGCGGCATCTCGCCACTAGTTACGCTTGGCAGGTAAACACATACAGCGTAAGAAGCGACCAGGACGTTACGGTGCCAGTGTTCGCATACTTTCCAAGGGACACAGACCTCGAACATTAATCCTGTTCCCAGTGCTGCACCATAAGGTTTAATCAGCATCCCATTGACCGCAGGAACGATGCAAAAGTGCTGCTATCTTTGCGCACACAGTTTTCTTGGAGTGGAGAACATTCACCTGCAGGTACTGTAGATACCAGCCATGCACCTAGCAGAACCACTAGCTACATTCTTTCAGGGTTGTCTAAAAGCAAATTTGGTTCCATCAGAGGGGAATCGGGATGATATTACCACTATTCACAAAGGAAGAAGTCGACCTGAGCCTCCCAACTATCGCTCCGTAATGCCTCATCTTTTGCTCGTCAAGATCGTGGAGGCAATCAATATAAACGCACTTATGCACTTCCTGGAAAGCTGCGGCCTCATTGCGCATGAGCAGCATGAATTTCGCCAACATCGATCAAGTACCAAGAATCTGTTGATAATACATGACAAATAGACCGAAACAGTCGACAAAGAGACATGAACCGATGTTACCTACTCGGGCTTTTCAAAGGCATTCGATCGTATAATGCTTCACAAAAAATATAGTACTATGGCATCTGAGAACTAGTATTGGGTAGGATCGGTGAATTTCTCCGCTAAAAGAGTTTGAATATCATTGTCTCACCCTATTTGTGAGGAGCGTGGCAAACCGCACGGTTCGGTACTTGGATTTTGCCTGCTTTTGTTTTCCAGTACTGATCAAGTGAACATTATTGCCTCAAAACTTATACTCTTCGCTGAAGGCGTTAAGGTTTTACATACGATCAGTGGAGCAGACGACCACGAGATTCTCCAGTGCTACCTGGATAAGTCTTGGAGTTAGTCGATGTGACAACCGTAGCTATTCCATGTAGACAAGTGCTGCGTTGTCCACATCCTCCATCAACCTGCCTCCTTCTATAGACTTGGAGCATACAATCTGATAACGCCCACTCAAAGATGTGACCTCAATGTGCTGCTCCAGCACGACGTCGGTTGCTCCAGTCAGTTCGAGTCCGCTTGAAAAAGGTGTAAACAACATGTTGTCTCTTGTGGAAAGCACTTAGAAATTGAGTTCATCCATCTTCTCTCTGATGCTCAATACCTACGAACGCCTCCAAATCGAATTCACTATTTAGTCCCAGCGACTTTGTCATAAGCATGACTTCGAAAGGTTCGAGACCCACAATGTCGAGTAACGAAAATTGTCAAGAGTTTGCGCCGCCTTCCGTACCAGAAGCAAATGAAGATACCAGACGTTTTCAGTGGATGCTAACGACGGCTAAGTGGAGACCCCATATTTTTATGCCTAATACTGAAAAACCCCAGTCAAGTATGCCGCCACCTTTTGTGACTCAGCCCGAACACTGACCTCCGAGGTAAAAGCTCGAAACACAGTCAACAATACAGTGATCAAGATTGTCCACGAACTCACTTCTCCCTCCGCCTTTGGTAACTATGCAACGTCCATGCATATGCAGTTGTTTGTGCTTCCACGCTAGACTGTTTCAAAAGCGGGTATAGACAACATAGAGCTCTCTACACTTTGTTCAATGAAAGGATATTCTGGTATTTTTCCAGGCTTTTTTGATTAAAATCCACAATAACGCACGTAAATCTGTGCAGACTGGTCAGCAATCGGATTGTTATTTGCCATAAGCATTAACCGAAACAACTTGTTGTTCTGTTTTGCATAGTAACACCTGATTCCCACAACCCGATCGCTTTATGTCAAAAAATGCATCGTTTCACCGATGAGCAGCTTATTTGCTCCATTGACATAGAATACGAATTTGCAATTTATTTCATTATCAACCTGCGGGACACGTTAAGCCTCTTTAACACATCATAATCTATTGTCCCATTGTTCAAAGTACCAAGGAAATTTGACCAAAGTTTTGTCATCAACTTGTGGCTGAAGCTTCAAGAATTCCGACCAGTTTACGAAGCCAGTTTTATGGTGCACTAATCCGCGTCGTCTCATGTCAACCAGTTAGGATCACTAAAAGGGTATGTGATAGTTGTGAGCAATTATAAAACAATGAATAACTTTCGGCACGAGTGATTTGCAGACGCGCTTGCGAAATAACCGATTCCTGCAGCAAAACATGTTGAGAGCGAGAAGAACAAAAAAGTGATAAAATTTACCACGCTTTATCTATGAAATGGCTTGGAGTTTTACAGTCGCTCATTGCGTGATCCTTAACATCAGTATATAGAAAGGGTGCCCGTAAATTCTGAGCACAGGATAATTGGATATTTTTCATTAAGTTAATATGAACTACAAGATTCTAAGTTAATAACAGCACTTTTGCTACCATAGTTTAAGCATAGCTTTGTCAAATGAAGACGAGTTGAGCGGATGCTTCACAATGGACGTGAAGGATGGTCATATCGAAATAGAGCTGATGCATTTAATGTATGACATTCGAGGAGGGTTCCAAATTGGTTTTTCCGACGGTAATGAAGATGATTAGGAAATTTAAGGAAGCAGGCAGCATTACGGACAAACAGCTTTCTGGGCGATCAAGTGTAGTAGTCAAAACGAATGATGTTGTTGTGCCTAAAAGGTATATAAGTCCCCAAAATATCAATCCATGGACATCTATGAAGCTAGGTGTTGGGAAATCAACGGTCATACAAATTTTAAAACATTGTGTTTCATCCAAACAAGTTACAAATTTTGCCTAACTTAAGAAGATGACTGATGTATGAACTAAGATATGTACATGTTTTAAAAAAACTGGTTAAATACATTTCCCAAAAGCTATAATCTGTTTAATCAAGAGGTTTTGTTTTATGTGAATGGTGAAGATAATCGATAAAGTGTTGGATAACGACCGCTGCAAAATCCGCACTTTTTATTATTGAAAACAGCAAGGAGTACAAAAAGTTACTTTTTGGCGCAGTTTATGGAAAACTCACGATTGCGCCATTGCTTTTCAATGACCGCATGACATTTATATTCCTGGGCCGAAGGATTAGTTAATTACCCAACTAGAAATTTTTTAGTGAAAGACTTCCTGTGTGGTTCCAACAGGATGGCGCTCCTGTCCAATTAGTCACGAATGTAGGATTGGTTGAATGACAAGTTCCCTACTCGGATTAGCAGCGGTGGATATGTGGAGTTGTCTCCTGGTTCACCCCACCCTAGGCCACTTGATTTCGTTTCTTGGGGCGCACTAAAGCAGAAACTGTAATCGGATAAAATACAGATCCTATATACCAGCGAATAAGGATTACAGGTAACGAAATTGACGGCAATGTGTATGCATTAAATCAGTTCAAGAACATTCTGCGATAGGCAACAATATTTGTTTTACCAATGATAAAAAGCGTGTGGACGATGTTAACTGAATAGAAATTTACATTTTGACACTCGTGCCCAGCTTTACACATACCTAGTAGAATAACGAAGTTATGAAAAACAGCGACAAATAGAAGGTATCCGCTAACATATGAATACTAGAGGGCGGAGCAACAAAGTGATTATATTGCGCGGGTACATGTGACATAACATGAAATTGGCGCGTTGTTCAAGTATGATCAACAAGTATGATCAAGTATGGAAACACGGGAAACTTTTTTGTCACGTCAAACCGATAGTTGGACTGAGTTCTAGATGTCAATGTAAATAAGCCTTTAGTTCATCTTGGAGCTTCAACTGGGAAGGACGTACATTCCGGCGACAACTTCATGCTCAATCCCACAGTGATCCTTGCCACGCAGCATTCTGAAAAAGCCGTTCTCACCCCAATCTGTATTCCATGAGTTTGCGATTAACCAATAAGGAATCCCATTCTCTTCCCCCCAGCCAATGATGCGTACCGCATGACCTCCAATAATATCACCTGCCACATGCTCATAAATTCCGCTTTTGTAAACCGTGAAATCCTCGTACACATTGAAAGACGCTTCCACTGGACCATGAAGCCAAATCTCCTTCATTATCGCACTGGCAGACTTGATGATATTGTATGAGTTCACAGCTAAAAAAAGTATCACAGAAATACTGTTACCAGGTTTGTCGGTAAACAGATCGACTACAAAGTGTTGGAAATATATACAAAATACACGGAGATTTGAACTCGTATGCTGAAGGAAACGGATCTGCCTCTTTGTTATCAAGATCTTTAGCAAAGCTGTTAGCTGTAGCAGAAATTCAGGCCACATATGAAGCACAATCAGTATGAGAAATCGGGAGCCTTAGTACCCATTGAAAATTGAATTCGGAGATAATGACGCGTAGCAGGACAAGAAGGCAACGGTACTCAAAACATCCCATATTGTTTGTAAACCAAGACCATCCGCAGGTCAGAGGGTGAGTGATTTCTGTCGCTTATGTATAGCGCAGGAAAGGGAAGTGGGCCTCAACACCAGAATATAACGCACCAGGCTCCAATGTCTGGGTCATGGGTTAACGCCCGTCAGCACACGGACTCCAGCGACGGGCGTAGATTGCGCAACAGGATCTACGTGGAAGTGCAGGTGAAGAGGCGAACTGGTGATTTCGTCAGGATGGATAAAGACCCTCACCTCGAATTTCTCTTCGGTTGATGTCTCCCGACTACCGAGCTGGGGTTTGCATTGTAGTGCGCACGTTTGATTAAGTACACTAGTTGACCTGTTTAAGAGCTGAACTCAACGATGTTTGTTTTGTACGCTTCTTCGTCCGACTTTGTTCAACCATTTTGCCTCTTTGTATTGGAGCGTAATAGCTGAGATGTTTTTCACATCCAGCTAACGCGTAAGCATGATGAAAATCTATGCAAACCTGAGCAGCGTTTAGGATTCGTGCGGCTTTACGTGAACTAGGTCATCCAGATGCCCTAACACCTAAAGGATTTCGAGTAGAACTGAGCCGGAAACTCATGAGGGGCCGTATGTACAGCATTGCGTAAAATAACCCACGTTGTGAATAACTGCATCATTCCAGAGAACTAACCAGTTAGCTGACGTTTACATTAATATTCACAGGATTCTTTGTCCGGTGCTATTTAAACTTCCGGAACGTTAGAGTAAAGCAGATTGAAGGATGAAGGGTCTAAAACTAGCTTGACTGAACTTATTGACTTTGAAACATCAGCAAATTGAACGGTACTCGAATTGATAGCAAACCAGTCTACGTACATGCGAAGCGAATTTCAACTACATGAGTGCATATCGAGCGACCTTGTACAAGAACGGCGAGTTTAACCGTATTTGTTTTCCTTTGGTAATGGAAGTGGATGTCCGGCCGTATCTCCGCCACACTGACCTCGTATACTAGTAATCAAGGCAGCTCTTTGTTTCGTACCTTTAATCGAATTCGTGGTAGATTCATTAACGCAATCTGTATAGTACCGACCTGGGTTGGGGGTCAGGCAAGTGAATCACCAATGCAGGGCATGAATGCGTGTCAGGTTCTTAATTAGTTGTAGGGGGCACTATGGTGTTTTTGAAGGGATTCATCGCAGCTAAGCTCACGCAGACAGTCATTGCACATGCAAAAAAGCGTTAGGCGGCCATTTCGTCCAATTGGGACTCGTCGGTAGCGTGCACCCGCCGAGTCCTGCCGGATTCGAACACATAACCTTACTCTTACGAGCCAGCGACTTATGCCACTGAGCCATTGTAGACAGCGGCAGACCGCAACGACCGATTGCTAACTGCAAAATACCGCTGCTCATCCTTCCCTGTCATGCTGGTTTGGAACGTTCAGAGTGTAAGGCTGGTCTCTTTTGCAACCTGACGTCAATCGAGGTGGAATGCACGTGTCAAATTACACTAGTGCCAAGGTCACTGCCAAGTGAAGACAAAACCGAAGCTCCGACAATTGGTATAATTTCTAGGTTTTCTACGTGCAATCTTAACGGACTTTGAATTATCATATACCACACACTTCCTCTTTGTGTGATATTACCGTCACGGGAAAAATGTGTAAGGACATCTATCAGTTTGTGTGCAAATTGTGCAAATCTTTTACAATCATCTTGTGATCCACCTTGAAGTGTGGTTTTCCCTACGCAATTCAGCTCACTCATCCGACAAGGAATTACCAGCTTTACCTAGTGGATCGCCAAGCATGGGAATTATTCCATCGCCTTTTCGCCTTTCCGGTTTTGGAGGTTTCTCAGCTAGCCGCCGCATCGGCTGACCAATTTTATCGGTTGACGTCGATCGATCTACCCCGCAGTCGTGTCAACCGCGCCCCGTTGCGAACAGCCCTTCGGGCAGTAAATAAGATCAAAATTCACGCCGGCAGTCACCTGCCAGTGCGGCGTTTGGACCGGCGTGTGAACAGAAACCAGCATGTGTCCGTTTCAAGTCCCGACAGGGTGGTTTTATCGCGTACTATCACACTCCACAGGAGAGTGTGTGACCAAGAAACGAAGTGGCCGCGTCCATCCGTTTGATTAGGGCGTGCAACCGGCCAGTAGGAAAGGTACGCAACGTCAACTAGCGTAGTGTGTAAGGTAGCAATACTTTGCCACGTAGCAGAAAGCAAGTAGATGCGATTTTAAATGTGCTGCAGTCGGAGGATAAATGTAGGAGGGTAAATGTGGGTCCGTTGAATGTAACTGATTAGTCAAATCCGGTTTACCTTGTACACGCTGCTAAGATGGTACCATACAAAATGTGCAACTCTTTCCCAACAGCCCGTGAAAGCTACACCATTTCCCGGCCAGGTTGTCCTTTTGGGCAACAGAAATAATCTGAGGGGGCATTCAACATGAGTCTACTCAATTAATTTGTTCCGTGCGTAGGAGCGTAAGCATCTCACCTGCACCCCTATGATTTATTGCATCTGAGGTCCAATTGGCTGAAGGCGACGGGCTATACACGCACACCTACACACCTGCACAAGTGATTGGCGTACGCACGGAACAAATTAATTAAGTAGACTTATGTTGAATGCCCCCTCAGATTATTTCTGTTGCCCAAGAGGACAACTTGACTGGGAAATGGTATAGAAACAGCTCCCAAAATGATCTATGGTTTAGTATTGAGCGTTCGAACTGAAGGATCGTCAAATTTCGAAGCTGTGCGATATTATCAATGTCACGGATACATGGTAGCACACTGGGACGACAAACGCTGAACTCTTGCTGCCGGGCATGTCCCTTATATGAAACGACAGGCGTACGAAAGGAGGAGGGCTGATTCCGTATTTCTCAGGTGATCTACAGTGCGAGGCCGTTGAGAATTCGCACTGACAGTTAACCGATTCGCTTTGGTGCCACCTGCAATTATATGGTAAAGACGCCACGAACTCTACACCGGAAAAGGACTGCCAACTTGCGACCGCTTTAAGATGCAGCCTAAAGCGGAAGCACACTCACATCATTCATATTGGTAATTGCAATGTACACTGTTAAGAAATTCCTGCTACAATCAGGGAGCCATTCAAGACAGATTTGCAAGAGCTTATAACCAGTGTACCACTCTACAGTAACGGTAGTACGCCCACCGGTTTCAGAACAGGTAGTAGACTTTTTGCTGGATCTTCTTTTCACCAACGAGGAACGTACGATTTATGTATTGATCGTAGAATGCCTTTGGGTTGCAGGGATCATTTACTCATCAGTTTCGACTTCATATGCTATGCGGAATATCGCAACAGAAAGCCTGCGTTGGTGCGCGCCATTGCTCGCTACGACCGCTTAGCACAGCTCGTCAGTGCCACAGCCTGGTCGTCCTTCGCTGAAGGCCATCCGGATGCCTCAGAGACGAGCGTTTTCAGTGGGTCCAAAACCAGTTATTTCGTGAGGAGCAGAACTAGAATATGGATGACTATAAGCAACGCAGCTTGGCGAGAGTAGAGACCATCACCAACGCCAGATAACTGGAGCAACTACGTAGACTAACGTGACCACTGCGCTCAACTGCGCAGAGATGACAAAGTCGAAAATCAGCAGAAAATGGTGAAAACTTTCGGCGCTAACCACAAACTGCTGTACAAGTATGTCAGTAGACGTCTTAATGTGAGGCAAGGTATTCCTTCTCTCCGGTCGACTAATAGTCCAACAAGAACAGCCATAGAAACAGCAAACGCATTGCGGACGCAATATGCTCTCACATATCACTGGGTCTTACCATCAGGCCATCCTGCAACTTTCGTTTTCCACTCTCCAGTATTCACCCACATCTATTTTCATGCCGAAGCAGTTTTGCGGAGACTAATGTCTCTGCACAACCACAGCTTCCCTGGAGTCGACACCATTCATCCAGTGGCACTAGAAGCAACAGCAAGACAATTGCCAAACCTTTGGCACAGTTCTTCCAGCACTGCTTAGACCAGAACCAGATTTCTGCGATGTGGAAACTTGGAATACTAACTCCGATTCACAAAGACGGAAGCAGGACTGAACCTTGAAACAACCGCGCAATGTCCCTTCTCCCTATATTAACCGCGTTCATGGTAGTCATCGTTGTTGATGCGTCGGTGTGCTATCTAGAAAATTGTACGATTATTGCTCCCGAGCAGCACGGCTACCCTCGACAGCAATCGTGCACGACGAATTTATTAATCGCGTGGAGTAGATTGACGGAGTCAGCTGACGCTAGAGTGGCTGTTGCTGTGATGTACTTGGATTTGTTGAAGGCGTTCGATCGTTTAGATAATCGAATTCTCCTTCCCAAGCTCCATTATTAAAGGATCGGTGACGTTCTCGTGAGTTGGTTCGCCAACTTTCTCCTGCAACGGTAATCAGTGGTCAGAGTCCGGAGTTCCCTACCTGAATGGAGAGAAATGCATTAATAAGCTCGCAAATCTCCCAGCTTATAACCAATCTGTAAGCAATGATGAAATAAATGCCTCATGTTCTGTTAGTATACCTGCCATCAAGTGTCGATTACCAAAGCGTAAAGTGACTGTTAAAACTGGCAAAGCACCGACAACTTCTAAAACTGCGAGACCTTATAATTCAGCAGAAGGAAAATTATGCCCAGCTGCTCTGCCGTTTCAGTCTATTAACTTGCAAAACATCCAAGATGAAGTCACCCAGCT